TGAGTATCAACAGCTCCTTTGAATCACATTCAGCCACCATTACCCAGCCTCTTAAAATCCATTTTATAGTTGTTTATCGACCCCCAGGACCACTAGGTAACTTCGTGGAAGAATTAGATGTGCTGCTCTCAAACTTTCCTGAGGATGGTACTCCCCTAGTTATGCTTGGAGACTTCAACATCCACCTAGATAAACCTCAGACTTCCACACTCTGCTTGCCTCTTTTGATCTCAGGTGAGTATTAACTATGGCTACTCACAAATCAGGCAACCAACTGGACCTTATTTACACACGACACTGCTCCACTGATCATGTGCTGGTTACTCCACTGCACACCTCGGATCACTTCCTCCTCACTCTTAACCTCAACATGGCTCCTGACACAACCCATTCCCCTCCACGTCATCTTTCGACGTAACACATTTAGATGCCTAACTGCTGCAGGAAATCTAATGACTAGCCAAATGTAATAAAACATCATTGATAAAGTCAGACGACTGAGGCTGAATGAATGATAACTTTGAGAAGTGTAGCAGCATGAGCTATCAAAGTTGCACATATATCTAATAGTTTCAAACCCTAGTGAGCTAAGTAGGTGTCATTGTTAGACATCAGACGTGAAGGCTGTTCCAAACACTACATAGCAAAATTATGCTACCTAATATCTCAGAGTCGCAGAATGCATGGTAACATGCTCAGTGAAAATTATGTAATTAAAACATGATTATTTCATGCAAAAGCAACATGTAACGTAAAACTTCATGTGAATAAACTGTGTTAGTCATGCACTTTAAGTAGACCGCTTTGTGTGACGGTTAGCATGCTGTCTTACTAGGTAGTTCCATATACAGACATATTAGTTAATGTCCTGTTGTAATATTTTCTCACAGAAAGCGGAGGGGTTCATAAAGTGCTGGAAGAGCCTGTTTTTCTCTCACCCTCCCGGCTATCTGCTAGGGTTTCATCTTTGCTTCCTTCTTCTGAACAGTTATCATCTCTTGATGTTAACAGTGCTACTGATACTTTCTGCTCCACTCTTACGTCTTGTTTAGACACTGT